TGGCTGAGCTGCCTGCGGCCATGGTGCCTCCGGGCTTGGCGCCTCTGAGGCTGCAGCTCCCTCCTCATCCTCGGCCACCCCGTTACCCATGTCGTTTCCCAGGCGGGGGAGGGGAAGGGGGTGCAAGACCCAACGCTGGGGCTCTTGATGCCTGTGTCTTCCCCGGCAGGCCTCACACATCATCCCCAGCCAGAGCCAAAGGTGGAAACGCTGCAAGGTCCCTGCTCTATTGCAGGGATTAAAAATTAAGAGGGGGCTGCAAGCAAAGAGCCCCCCAGCCTGTGGGAGCCAGGCTCCATCCCCACCTGCTCAGGGAGCGCTCGAGCAGCACCTTGAAGGCACCAGGAGGGCTGAGGGCATGGGGAGCCGAGGGGGACGGGGCCAGACAACCCCAGCACTGTGGGATGTGGCGGTGTAAAAGCGATGGCAGAAAGGGAAGGGGGGGTTTGGGGCTGGGGGAGGCTGCCGGGGGGTGGGGTGTCTGTGGGGCAGCTTTGGGGTGAAAACCCCCCCTGGTTTGCAGAGATGTTTGTGTCCTGCAGCTGGTGCCTGGGGGGGACTGGGCATCTCCTGCATCCCATGCCTGCGCAGGCTCCATGCGTCAGGACGAAGCCCTGCCCTCCCCTCCGGGGTCCCCGGGGGAGGGACCCCCATCCCTCCCAGCCTTCTCCCCACCACCACGCTCCCCTCAGCACCTCCTGGCCAGGGGGCGGCAGGCTGGGGCCGCTCCAGGGCCCCTGTCCCTCTGGAGATGCTCTTGGCAACTGGTGGCCGTGGAGCTCAGCTTCTGCAGGAGCCTTAAAAGCCTCTGTTTGCCTGAACGCCCCCAGCCCTGCAGCCCACCCTGGTGCCCTCAGCTGGTGGTCTCACAGGGGCTGCCAGGGTGCTGCTGCGGGTGCTGCCGCTGCGGGTGCTGCCCCACTCCCCCCCGCAAACCCGCTGGTGGGTGAGATGCTGCCAACGCTCTGGCGCATGCTCCCTGCCTGCCTCAGTTTCCCCCCGGGAGACCCAGGCTTGCCTGCGCCTCACAGACCCAAAGAACGAGTCAGCGGTGGGAGCAGGGCTGAGGAGCAGGATGGGACTTGCTTCTCACCCCTGCTTCCTGAACGCCCAGTGCAGAAATGAGGCAGAACCTGTTCTGTGCACCCGCGGGGATGCTGCCAGCACCCAACACCTGGCAGCCAGTGGACAGAAGCAGGCTTTGCTCCCTTGGATGCTGCTCTGGGATGCAGCTGGAGCCGTGCTGCAGGCCACGGCGGCTGCCTGGCTCGCTCCAGGGTCTCTGCAAGGAAAACTGTCCCCGAGAGCTGACCCAGCACCTTGCTCACCTTGTGCTGGTGGCCGGCGTGTTCGCGGGTGTCACTGGGCTGACGCAGCCTCCAGCCACGACCGCCCTGGGCGGAGAGAGGCACTGAGGGAGGCTCTGCTCCATGGGCGCTGCAGTGCGACAGCAGCTGCGGCTGAGACCCAGCAAACTCACTGCCCCTCTGGGTCACCGGGAATGGGGTCGGGACGCTCCACAGGATGTGACCCACTGCTCCCCCACACCTCTGGCCACGGGGTTTGGCTCTGTCTGTCCTGTGCCGAGCACAAGGCTGCCCCGAGCCGCCTGCCCTGGCCCTGAGGAGGAGCACTGCCCAGTGAGCAAGCCCACCACCGAGGTGGCAGGTACCATCCGTCCATCCCTTCCACCCATCCGTCCATCCATCTCCAGAGATCCAGGAGCAGGGGACGGATCCTGCCACGTCCTTTCCTGTCCAGCCTCAGCTGATAAACATTTAGGGCTCTGGACGTTGCTGGTATGAAGGGTCCCCAGGCCGGGACGCACAGAAAGGGCTGGGTGCCCACCCTGGGTGACCTGGAGCAGAGCCACCAGCCTGCGAGCAGCCTCCGTGGGGACATGGCAGCCCCCGAGCCATCGCCCCCACAGAGACCTGGCCACGCTTGCTGCATTTCCAGAGCATCCATAGCAGGGACCTCGTCCCTCTGGGGTCTCTCCCCACTGGAGATGAGCAGCAAGCGCCCTGCAAGGGGAGGAAGGGGAGGGCGGCCGACAGACAGACAGAGCTGTTGCTGAAGTCTCATTTCCTTAGAAACCACGCTAAAAATAATCCCCTTTTCTTGCGGTCCTGTGCTTGGCATGTGCTGCCAGGCTGCTGCCACTGCACCCCACTGCAATGCCTCCCCCAGCAGCGCTGCCGTCTTGCTGGGTGATGGCTGGAGCCTGGCAGGGAGCCTGATACCCCCCAGCTGGCCGCCCTTCCCCTGTGATTGAGGGAAACTGAGGTACAGGGCCCCCTGTGCCAGGGAAGGATGCTCCTGCCCTGGGTACTGGGGTTTACTGCTGCCAGGCATTGCTGGCTTGATCCTGCGTGGGGCTGAGCACCCAGGTTTGTCCTGGGTGGTCAGGAGCCCCCGGACCTTTGGAGCAAGATGGGATTGTGCCAGGCAGGATGGGAGCCATGGGGCTGGGGGTACCCATGGGATGGGGGCCCTGCAGAGCCCCAGGGACCCCGCACCACCCCACACTGGGCTTTTAGGGTGTGTGGGGCTGCAGGGTGCTGTGGGGAGGGTGGATTTGCCCAGCAGAGACCAGTCAGCCCAGTCCCCCCAGTGCAGCCCGGGAGCTCTCCCAGAGCTGCTCTGGATAAGGCACCCCGAGGCTCGGGGAGGGTCTCCCACCCCATCCCCATGCCTACACCCCTGGCTTCGAGTCTCCACCGGGCTTGGGGACCCCCTACCCCGGGGTGCTTCCCCTCCGCACCACCCCTTCCCGGGCTGCGTGACGCCTCCCAGTTCAGCCCAGTTCAGTCCCGTCCGGCGGGTGCTGCTGGCTCCAGTCCCTGCTTTCGTGCCGCCGGGGCGAGGAGGCGCTTGCTCGCCTGCGGTTGACTCAGCTCTAGGCCGCCAGCACCCAGCCGAGGGTGGGGACCGGGTGCCACCCTGCCACCACGAGGGTCCCCGTGGGGTGCTGGGAGGGGACGAGCCACCGTGACCCCCACACACAGCCCTGGGCAGGTAAGGGCGGCTGTGGGTGCTGACCCCACTGCTTGCCCCACAGCAGGGCTGCACCAGCACCCTGGGGAAGAAGATGATACAGTTTAGATAATAAATTAAAAGCTGAAACTGTAGTGAGTGACTGAAGCATTTTTCTATGCAATTTTTGGACAACTATAGGTTTTGATAGTTGTCCTCTGGTGACTTCTGCTGTGGCAGTTGAGTTTTCCATCCCTCTGTGGAGGCTACCACCCATGTAACAGAAGTCAGCAAAATGGGATTTGTCAGCTCTTCAGTCCTCCCTATTTGTCGTTCAGAATATTAGCTTTAATTGTCAGTGAAGATGAGCTGTCATTAATAGATCTGACTGTAAACCAGAGCATATGAAATGTGAAAACTTGTGAGGTTTGTTGGTTGTGGTGGTTGGGGGGGTGGGGGGGTGGGGGGGTGGGGGGGGGTTCCCTTGAGCCTGGGTGCATTTTGGGGGGGGGTGTTGCTTTGCACCATCCAGTGCTGCCCTCCATCGCGGCGGGCTGCCTGCAAAGAAAAAAGGGAGGTGCGCACCCTCCAGTTGTGGCTCACTGGGGAGGTTTAACTGGTTTGACTGGTCTCCTGTGCAGGGTGGGGGGCCGGGTGCCCAGCACCCCTCCACACGCCGGCAGGAGCAGGACGTGGGTGCTTGTTTATGTCCCAGCTGCACCCACCCACCGGGGTCCCCGTTGGGTCCGGGGAACCGCAGCAGCATCTGGGCCAGACCTGGGTGACTTTTTTGGGTGCTGGCTCTGTTCCGGTGTGGGGGGACAGCCCCGTGCACTGCCAGTAAACAGGATACGAGCGGGCTGCGGCGGGGGGGGAGCAGCAGCATCGGCCCCCCCCCCGGGAGCGCGCGGG